CACCCTGTTTGCGCCATTGCGGAAACGAAAATCGTTCGAATATCAGGGTGGCTTAACTGAATTCGGCATTAACTAAATTCGGCTTATTCTTAACTGAATCGCAACAATTCGTAGATGTTTCGTCCATTTCGTACCTTTATCGTAACCCTAACTGCTTCGTAGATACTCACTATTATCCACGTTTTTTTTGAAAATTATTTTACCGAATCGCCACTAATTTCGATTCGGCACTATCCGTAGAACAAGTGAAAGGGAGACATAAGTGTTTTCGTCTGAAATCGTCGATGTAAAACTTTAAAAGTCGGTCAAGTATCTTCGTATCTGTTAATTGTCGACAGACATTTAAGTTTCGAATGGAGGTATTGTCCTGAATATAGATACCCAATGACCTGACCACAGTTCTCAGTGCTCAAGCACGCAAATACTATAGTAGTCTTATTATACCCACCACTGGTCTTTATGAAATACAATGATTTAGATTACTCGATTTTATTTAAATACAAGATGTGAGAGAGTTACATGACGTACGATACTCGACGTGAGATAATAACCATTTATTCTATTAGTGGAATTGCTTCCGCTTCTGTCAGTACATGGAAACTGTATAGTCTCAACCCAACTGCAGGAACACAGACACGCTTTCCAAGAATTTCTCTCTTAAACACAGTCCCCCCTGAACAGCGATTTCCATAGTCTCTTCAAAGTCAAAGCAACTACAGCAGTATCAAAAAATTATGATATTTCAAAGATTTTAATTGGCAATACTACGCCGAATGTTCACCTAAATGCTCAACGTGTAGCCATAGCAAGTTACTTGATGGATTTAGAATCAAATTGTGATATCTCTGTAAAAAGGAAATGAAATGAAATGGAGTTTAACGTCCTACTGTTCTGCTCCTAACCTGGGCTAATGAAGACGGCTGTAAAAAGGAATATCAGTCTAAGATTTAATTAATTTCAAATCTGTCAACAGCTGCAGACGATATATACTATTCAAAAAAAGTAGAGGATATTTGATTTTTAAGTGTTATTAAAGTCACCTAATGAAACTGACGAAGAAACAAATGACAAAATGAAATGAAGTTCACATTCATCGATTTATTCCAAATGATCGTTAGACTAAGTAAGGCACAGACTGACCATTATAAGGGTAAAATGATACCCGGGGTCAAACAGCAAAGTTACCACAGCATCACAACCAAGTCAGTAACGGGTAAATCCTCCTCTGTTTGCCAAACAAGCATTGATCCGACGTGGCATACTCCTAATGAGACGTCTAAGGTCAATTTGGTCCAGATTGTCCCATTCCTGTTGCAACGCAGCAGCAAGTTCTTGGACATTGGCAGGACGTTGTTGACGTTGACGTAACCTCTGTCCAAGCATGTCCCAGACATGCTCGATGGGGGAGAGGTCGGGACTCAGTGCTGGCCAAGGTAATGTGGTGATTTTCTGTGGTTGGAGGTAACCTGTAACGATCCTGGCCCTGTGACATCTTGTGTTGTCATCCTGGAAGATGAAACGGCGGCCATGATGTCGTGCGAACGGCACAACATGGACTGCCAAGATGTTGTCCCGGTAGTACTGGCCTGTAACACGCCCTGCAACAACATGTAAAGCCGCTCTTCCAGCAACAGTGATGCCTCCCCACACCATAACAGAACCACCCCCAAATCGATCATGTCTGATGACGTTAACGTCTTGGAAGCGCTCGTTTCGACGACGCCACACCCTCCTACGTCTGTCCAAAAAATCAACAGTGAACCTTGACTCATCTGAAAACATCACATTGCTCCAGCGTCGATTATCCCAGTGTTGACGATCCCTACACCAACGACGTCTTGCCTGAATGTGATGATCTCTCAAACAAGGGATCACGCGAGGATGTCGGGCGCGAAGGTGACCCCTATGCAGTCGATTCCGAATCGTCTGGCCACTCACTCTCACACCAGTGTCTGTTTGAAGACGAGCGCTGATCTGATTTGCTGTGATGACACGATTTCTCAAGGCCAAGGTACGGATAAATCGATCCTGGGCTTGAGTTGTCGACCTGAGCGTGGTCTGTCCTGTACAGATTGTGTATCACGGTATCTGGACCATAGCCTGCTTATGACAGACTGAGAAACATTCATCGTCCGCGCCTGTGTTGTGCCGATCTGTAGCATGCCAAGGGCACGTAACCTTTCATTTGAGGTAAGCCGACGCATATCAAAATTTGTTTTCTGGTCACTAAAACAATTAAACTGATGTTTCCACCCTGGAATTCAATGCCACAATGACTGTAACATTCAAAGTCAGAGTCGTGCAAATCTTGGGTTGGACCCCCATGATGATCCCAAGCATCACCTGCATTCCATGCGGTAGCTATTGGTGCGTTTGGGCGTCACATGTAACTGGAAATGTTTCTTCTGTTAGGTTCTATAGTGACTTTTTTCGTAGTCATTTGCATATTTTAGTATTATGCCCCCAAAATCAAATATCCCCTACTTTTTTTGAATAGTATAATATAGTAAAGCATGTCAGCGCCGCCTATGGGTTTTGCTAAATCTTTTCGTAGACATCATTTAATCCGATTGAATGCAAGCCGGGATATTGCATACCGCTAATATTTTTATTGCCTAATTAACTGTTAAATAATCAATTTGAATACATTAAAGCGTGTAATGAAAATGACGCCCTGGGACTTTAAACATACCGTTATCCTGTTCCGCACCTCCACCATATATACAACAGGCGTTAAATGATCAATAGAATTAGGAAGGTTACGATTTGATCACAGTCGACATTTTATGATTTTGTTATCTTTTGTGGATTCATATCCCTGTTATTTACGTTCAGTGTAAACATTTAGTGATGCGTTTGATGGTTTCTACAGACATAACCCATGCTTATATTACGCAAAGAACTCGATATTTATGATTTAGTTAGAAACATAAAATAAAACCTTGAGAGCAGACAAACACCATAGTGCTTCAGCAAGAAATCTAATCTATTTAAAGAGATATTCCCATGTGCATTCCCAAACCTGATTAAAGTAACGATGTGTTGCATTTTGCGCTAAAATTCAAATTTTTTTAGGCGTAATCGACGTTAATATGTACTCAGATGCTAGATAACCTCTCGGCTTGGACTCAATAGGATTTAAAATAGTTCTATTAATTCAGTTTGCCCACAACAAAATGGCGGTGGGCTTATTGCATACAAGCGGCACCGATCGATGAAATTTCAAATTTACAGATATTTGGAAATATTGAATTGAATTAAACCATTCTTGTACCCATATTTGTATTAGAGATTCATGTTTTACAAAACCGTAGGGATTCCTATTGAGCTAAAATGGCACTAGAAATTGACTGGGTAATTGACTGGCTTGAGTTGACATAAGCTGACTTGATGAATAATTGTCTTCAAAACAAAATATTGGTTTCTGGCTTGATGAATAATTGTCTTCAAAATAAAATATTGGTTTTTAAAGAACGTGAACGTCATAGTTTTTTGGCCATCTTTAACGCGAATACTGTAATTGCCATTATGAGAACATTGTTTAAGTCTTGTGATTGGCGTATGTATTCACGATGTTCTCTGTTGTTCACATTATTACTAAACCCATACATTATGAATGCCGGTTGTCTTCCACTGAAATGTTGATTTAAACATTCATGCTTCTCTTTGTTATATTGTTAATCTGTCATGCTGAAATTTATATTGTTAATTTGTAATTTCTGTTAAATGGATGTCACTACCTATAGAGGCTCCTTTGACCTGGCAAAAAAAATCGAAACGCTCAACCTACCCTCCAATATTTTTTATCAAATGGTTGTACCGTGTTGGTATAATTGTGGTTATAAAGATTAACATCATCGTAATGTTCCATTTTCTGTTAAAGACCAAGAAATGTCAAGGATTTAGCTTTGAATTCAATGGGAGTGAGAACTAGTAGTCTGAATCCTTGTTGACTGTCTATCCTATTGAACGGAAAAACGACACTGAGATATCTTGTGGACAGCGTTATTCTCCTTGGTTATTGTTAGCACAACAGAGGCTTCAATTATGTGATCCAATCTTTCTGAAATGTGTGAGAGATGTTTAAATAATTGCATATAATTTGTCAAAGTCTTTTATTATTATTAGTATTATTAATTACTGCTAGGGTCGTGTCCCTTTGTTTCCAAATCTGGCAGAATTTTATAGGCTGCATTTGTTAACCCATCGTTATATTGAACGGCTATTCTATTATAATACTGATTTTCAATAATCTATTCCGGGGATATTCCCCTTTGATACAAACTCCAATTATCTTTCCGTCTTTTAAAATATTTACGACCTGCCCAACAACTCATGTTGGGTTATAAATTGAGTGCGTGGGATTAAGCAGGCCTATAGCGTACGGATTATACCACCCGAGAAGCAATTTCCCGTAAAATTTTAGAAAAAAACAGCAGCAAAATACTGATATCACTACTGAAGGGGCCGACGTTAAGCACCAACTTTGAGCCAGATAAACACTGCAATCAAGTACGTTAACTAAAGTCCCCTGTGGTAAATAACTATATACATCACACAATTGTTCACTCAAACATCCGTAGCAATCGGGTCTATTAAGAAAAACCAATAATTACGACAAACAAAACAAATCGACTAATTCTGACCCAATCCTATTACTAATTGCCAGACAGGTTCTGATCGATCCCTGTTGGAGTAAAATAAATAACCGACGATCTGTATTTAGTTCTGATTCTGTCGAGATCTAGTTCAATTAACAGACATGTTCATTATTAACTTGATAAATCTGGAATTATAACAGGATTAGTAAGGGATTGGTGATGGCATTATGTCTTTGAAGTTATAAAGCTGCATAATATTTAATTCGGCATGATTATGGATTAGTTAATCTATTAGGATAATATCAGCTATCCTATCGAGGAGTTCTGTATGATTAACAGTAATGTTGATGATTGACATACCAGCGGATAGGCCGAACTTTACAATCAATATTGAGATGCTCCAAACATAGATACTAGTTGTGACTTCATCAGTTGAAGTATATTGTTCTATAAGCAGGTGCGTGGAATAAAACAGCAATAGACTGTCTGGCTACAGGTATGGCACATGTTTTATTATCTTATTAGTTTATTTACTATTGAAATAGCAAAGCGTAAAGGAATGGAATCTTGATTTAGTCGGGAATTTGTGCCATATATAGCACGTGCGAGTAGGAATAAAAACTTTTTGCTAACAGGTTCAACTGATAGAAATGGTATCGCATAGCAGTTGACAAAAACAAAACATTTCAGTGTCTTTTACGAAGTAATTAATTAATGTACATTAGTCAATTGTTATGTTGTGGGTGTTACTTTTCCTAACATGCACGAAAGAGGTGACAATGTTGTATTTGATATCGAATTACAACTGACATAAGATCTGTTGCCTGCAGTGGATGATTTCTTTCCATACGTTGTCTAGAATATAACTAGGCTAACCCTCTAATTTCTAGTCGCACACGCACTTTTCATTTTAAAGATGTTGATTGGCATTTATATGCTTAGACGTTGACTTTTTGGCCGGGTAGTGATAAATAGTACATTTCTTACCCTCGGCAAGATGATACGCGTGCTTAGACAGGGTGAGAGAAAAAATGTCACTTTAGGTAGATGCTCAAGGTAAAGGTTTCTATTGAGAGAGAAGAGAGAGAGAGAGATGGTGTTTAACATCCACTCAACACAAGTTTCTATTTAGACTTGGGACAGAAATAAAATGGGGTTTAACGTCCTATTTTTCTGCTCCAACTGGGCCAATGAATACGGAAAACCTGAACAGGACGGACAATAAATTGTGGAGAGGCAATTCTGTAAAAGATATCACCAAATTGGATATAAAATCACGGGATTTGATCACAATTGTTTAAACTACATTGACCACTTGGATTGTTTGCAATATTACGAAAGATTAAAAAAAAACCTGCAAATCTGGATAGGCAAGTCATAGTCTTAAATTAAATTTTGATATTTGCGGTTTCCAGAAAAAATAATAGCTAGGGATTATGAAGTTTGGTGTGGGTGGGGATGGTTGAGTGAACTACAACCGACAATACTGGTGTCCACAAATTTTATAGGCTGTGGTATTTGAAGAATATTAAGTAATCCGGATGTATATATACACAACATTACAATGACGATAAAAAACGACCTATTAGATATTAATATTTTTTATCATGAATCCAATTATATATATATATTTACATAAATTCTAAAAAAATGTTGGCCGATTTGATTATATTCCGCCTCTGTCGTCTACAGCAGTGCGGCTTGTAAAATTGAAAATCTCTTCAAAAATAGCATTAATCTGATGTTAAGGATTAATCCTAGTCTTTTATGTTCATATTCATATATAAATACTAACTTCCTCTAGCAAAGTTCTTCTGAATTGTTCTAGTATACAAGCCCATTCCACCACAAAAAATGATGAAATAATTCCATAGTTTCAGCCGAAAAGGTATATTTTTATAATTTTAAAACTTTCCGTGGAAAAAGAATTACCACCCTCATATAAATATGGACGTAAAAGACCCGGCATAATACATATATTTTATTTTTGGAAAATAATCCAATTTACAAACCTCTGATCTTTGTAAATACCGAACGGGATTGAACCACTTTTGAACTGTTATTCCTTTTAAAGTTTCAAACACTCTCAATTATTACCATCCGCGGAAGCTCCCGTGTGATTTACAACATTGAAATTTATTTGGCCTTTGGGTTTCTGGTGGGTAAGGTCTAGAAGTTAAGGACCACTGCAGATTTCGTCATTGGTCACAAGATGTAAATAGGGTTAAGGCACGTGATTGTTGAAGAGGTTGTGGGTAAGTTTTAGGGTTGTGTCTAGGGTTATCGCTAGCCCTGTTTATATCTGGTGACCTATGACCAAATCTGCAGTTGGTCTTAACTTTTAGACCTTACTGGTTTGTGGTGGTTCCGAAATGACCTACATGTATATGGTTTGAATGGATGTGAAACCCTATTTCCTTCCTCAATAAATCAAAGCTCATTTCACGAGACAGTTAATATTCATTGATACTGTGTAATAAGAAAGAATACAAGTGTCCCGTGGGAAGAAAATATAAGGTTCCACGGTCGACAATCGACTGTCAGTCAAAAGATGTTTATGTGAAAGTTTTATAGGATTCAATGGCAATAAATTGGAAGAAAACTGAAAAGTGGCCTCCTAAAAATAAAACAATATAGTTGTGCGGAAATGAAAATTGTTTAGGCTTCAATAACTGTATACCACGGTGTTTCAGTCTCTTTTGAGAGTGAAGGGGTAAATATGGTGATTATGCTCCACTACTGATGGTTCGAAAGATGGTGATCGGGCATCATCGGCTACCGTGAAGCCATCTGAGATCATACCTGGCTGTCTTCCACCCACCTGTAGCTTCCATATTTACAGTTGAAATACTTTGGAGTTTATTCAATCATCATCAAAATTATAACATTTCATTTATTCATTCCATATATATCTGTATAATGAAAGATCGTTCACACTACTTACTCATAAATTATATATATGACAACTGTCAAGGGTTCTTTTACATACAGGCCAGTGTGTACATGGGACCGAACGATGAGTATACGTTGTCCCTTGCCAGACCCCCCATCCTACACAACTGTCAAGGGGGGGGGGGGGCACACCGGAAATCTTTTCGGTCAGGTCGTACGTTATCAAGCAATCAACGAATATTATCAGATATCACAAGGAAAATATGCTTGACATTGATATTAAAGATACATTATGGGAGATTCGATAACGAGTTGGCAGTTCTCACTATAATAGTTAAAAACTAGATAATGTAAAGACAATTTGCTGAACATTTCAAATTGATCCACTATGATCCGATAACAAAGCGATTGAATTTCCGCCTGGCCTTGATCATCATTACTAAAGTCAGTACGATAAACAGCATAGTATCGATTATCCATTTAATCGTTAAATCGCGAAGGAAAGTTATGCAGTAAATCGGCTCAAAATCCACTAAAGATCGCAGGCTAGCGATACCATCTAGAGTTGATTATGGTCTGGATAGGTTAATTAATGTCTAATTAATAATTTAGATAAAATTTCAAGCCTAAAGACAGACCTGCAATAGACAGATTTAGATCTTGCATAATGTATGTTTAAGGACAATTCCTTGACCCCTACAGCATTGACCAAATAATCCTTGCTTCATCCTACGTTTTATTATTGATTGTTGGCCAACATTAGAAGATTGGAGAATGGAAAATGCCACTAAACTGCTTCACCAACTTTTCCTTAAAGCTATATCCATCCGTTCTGGTGAATATATGTAGACGCAACGGATGCACAGCAAGTAATTATCGTTTCTTTGCGTTGTTAAGATCTCAACGCAAGACTTTTTGTAGACACAACGGATCCGCAAGTAATTATTGTTTTTTTGCGTTGTTAAGATGTCGACGCAAAACTTTCTGTGGTGTGTATTTTTTGCTGTTATTTTCCGGACAGCTATGATGGAGGCAGCACAGTGCATTTGAATGTTGCGTAGATTTTTACCAGTTATATGAAAAAAATCAGCCAGAAGTACGGAATGTCCATCAGATGGCTCTGACACATGTATGCGTTCTTACGAGTTTATTTGGTGATCATTTCGTCAAACTTGTTGAGATTCTTGGTCAAGTTATAGGTAATAAATAAACAAATTGTATGTGTACGTGATTTTTAAAGTACAAATGAAATGGGGTTTAGCCTCATACTTTTCTGCACGGAATGGGTTAATGAAGACGGGCTTACATCATGCAGTTTGCTATAAAGGAAATCTATCCCGGACAGTGGCGCTAATCTTATTTCAAATTCCAATTGTCAAGTGATCTTTTCCGTGCACGCCAATGTGGTCACGCCGCCTGGGTCATTTACATGATCTTTGTATTGAGATTATCACTCTAGTTTGAAGAACGAATGAGAGCCATTTTTATGTTATTCTTTTCACGTCTGGTATAATACGCGTTTGGTTAATTATGGTATTGCAGGAATTGTTTTTGGACCAGTCATAAGGAAGAAGTATGTCTAATTAGCAAACCAAATGGGCTTCCAGAACACTTCTAAGGCTCTTATCTCGCATGATATAGCCCAGCCAGTCCTAAAAACAGCCATTTAAGTAAGCGTTGAACAACCACATGACTGCACCCGTCGTCGCTCTGTAGAACATTGGCAAAGGTCGTAGTCTGGTAGTCACGAAGAGAGATTTTACCCTGAAAGTTCTCCTCTGATCTGGAATGGTTTCAACATGGCCGACGCTTCTGAAATGCGTAATTTAGGCTTTTTTAATGGCTACCCTCATTAAACACGTATTTCGTCTAATGTCTGTTCTTATTCAATGGGCATTTAATTATAATTCCACACCAGGTCAGAAATTGTGCAATTAGACGTGGTTTTCTGTGATGAAGTGTGTGTTTTCTGCGTTTCAGTGCTATTGATCAGACTTTAACACGCGAGGGGAGATATAGAGCAATCCCGTTGCTGTTCATCTTAAGACTTGTTGCATGAATAATATTTCTCAACTTGGCTCAGATATCACGATTAATCACCACCCCACCGTGATCTAGAATAAAACAGATGGACATCGTCAGGCTTCATTTTCTTAATAACGAAAATAGATTTTTAAAAAGAGATTAACGTGATGTTACATTAGATACTTGAAGAAAATTGCATGCCGCTATACGGTACTTTTACAGGCTCAGCCATCAGGGTGATAGATGATAACAGCTGTATCATAAGTTCAGTCATTTTGTTAACTGGTGTTGTTTCGATTCCCCAATTGTACGTGAAAAGGAGTAGGGTCGCCTGTCCAACCTCGTGGGTTTGCTCCGGGTCCCCGGTTTCCTCCCACTGCTGAAATAAAATTGATCCATATGTTAGTCCCGAAATGACCTAGTTTGTGTCAAGTAGACGTTAAACCCGATTTCTCTCTTTCTCTCCCTCTCTCTCTCACTCTCTCTGATGGATATGGATGATAATCATGCTCACGCTGATTATAAAATACTTCTAGTACTCTAGTACTACAATGACCAAATTGTACATAATAAATCCTG